ACTGGGTTAGCGGGTTCCTCTGGGTTCCGCGAGGAACCCAGATTTGGAACTGGGTTAGCGGGTTCCTCTGGGTTCCGCGAGGAACCCAGATTTGGGACTGGGTTCGCGAAACCCAATAGCTGGGTTCGCGAAACCCGCTACTGGGTTCCGCGAGGAACCCAGATTTGGGTTTCATGAACCCAGGTCTTGGGTTCCTCATGGAACCCCTGCTGGGTTCGCGGAGGAAGAAGGTTGAGAAAGAGGAAGGGGCGGAGGGATAAGAGAGAAGAAGGGAGGAAGAAGAAAAAGAGGAAGAAGAAAAAGAATATAATAATAATAAATTAGGTGAGTTTTTATTTAAATATGAAAAAAATATCACATGAAAAAAGAAAAATGTCATCAAGTTTGTTTTAGTCCACATCATCAATTTTTTCCATGTGGCATTTTATTGATTAGCGTGTAATAACACGTCAACAATAAAAAAATAAAAAACAAAATATTTAACAGATTATAGTGCCACTCTGTCACTTAACTGACGGAAGGACCAAAAAGGGGCCGGATTTTGAAATTTAGGGACTAAAAAGGAGATTTTTTGAGTACAAGGATCAAAAAGGGGCTTTTTCCTATAGTAGAGGGACCAAAAAGGGTATTTAACCTTTCTGGGATTCGTAGATTAATAGTTGATATGGTTGAAAAAGAGTTCCATATACTTAAAAGCAGTTTAATTTATAAATTTATTTATATTTTTAATAAAATTCTTTTTTATTTTCTAATCTTTCTGTCTTTTTTATTTTTTTTAATTAAAGATTTAAAAGTATATTTATTTATATTATTCTTAAAAAATAAAAAAGATAAAGTGAAATTTTTTATAATAAAATAATTAGTTAAAGTAAATATTGTAGATAATGATATAATTAAAATAAAAAATATTTGTTTATTTTAAAAAATAAGTAATATATAATTTAAAATCAATTTAAATAAAAAATACAACTAATTTTAAATAAAAAATATATTATTTTACTAAAAATATTTTAATAATTTTATTAATTAAATTATATTTTAATACGCAACCTATCTCGTCAAACGTCAATTTCAAAACTTAAATATTAAGTTTTACGCTTAGGTAACCGTCAAAAGTAAGCCTCAAACGAGAAAGGGAATAATATAAAAGTGATTGACTCCGACCCGGGTTAGGTCAATCACTTTTAGAACATTGGTTAATTAGCTTTTTAAAATGAAATTTAGAGATTCACTTTAAAAAAAAAATGAAATTTAGAGATTATTGTAAAAAAAAAAAAAAAAAAAAACTCCGTTCTTTGTGTTAATTATTATTATTTTTTGAAGATAAGAAAATTATGGAAAAAGGGGAATATTTTTTTAAATAATTAATTAAAATCAAACTTTCAATTAATTAAATCTAAACATTAAAATTGGGATGAATTATTGAACTAAACGACTGGCTCCTATTCTTCGCGTTAATTGATTAAGAAAAAGGGTAAAGGGAAAGATTAGTGCTAAAAAAGGCAGAGAGGGCATGATTACAAAAGGGAAGAGATTCCCTCTTTAGCTTTTACCCTTCTAATTGGATTTGTTTGTTCCTCACTTTATTATCTATCAACTAAACACACTGACTTATTTATTAACATGAAAAAGAAGAAAAGAATAAAGACCTCTCAAAATGCTACTTTATGAACACACTTTAATCATCAAATAAATAAAATTCATCACTTTACTAAAATAGTTCCATCTCTGGATCCCTTTGCTAAATCATATTTTCTTGGAAGTTCTAACTAAAAACTTCAAAATTATCTGTAATTACTTGCTGTAAATAATTATTTTGTTTATCAAAATTACTTATTTGAATTAGTATGATGTTTCAGACTTTCAGTAGCTCATAAAGTGTAGGGTCCAATTTACTGTAAAACTTTTGATATTTTGATTCTCTCCCAACACTCAACCACTCAACTAAAGTGGAAGTTGTGCCACTCAAAATAAAAATAAAAAATAAAAAATAAATAGAGCTCATTTTCTTTGTGAAGACTATTTATTTGAATTAATTTGATGTTTAAAACACCTAAATACTTGAACTGGTCACTACTATAATTTTCTTGAGAAAATTTTGATGCTTTGATTCGACCCAAATACTCACCTAAACAAAGTTTACTGCTTTTCCTTTCAATTCACAACCCCATTATTGAAATTTTCCACTAGGGTTTCTTCTGGAGTTAAAATTCTGTAAATTTATTACATTATTACAGATAAAGAATTGGTCTGTAACTTGTGATAATGTCTTTACCAAAAAAAAAAAAGTTAAATTTCCTTTTTGGTCCCTCTACTATAGGAAAAAGCTTCTTTTTAGTCCTTATACTGAAAAAATCTCTTTTTTGGTTTTTAAAGTTCGAAATCCGGCCCCTTTTTAGTCCCTCTGTTAAATTTTGACTAATGTGACAGGTTAATTAACGGAAAACCTTTTTTTTTTCTTTCCTTAAATTGTGTGAAAAATCCATTTGGCGAAATTTGATGACATGACCAAATTTTTTACATAATTGCCATTACAAATATTTTAAAAGTTATTTTCTGGTTAAAGGTACTTAATTTTAATTACTTATTTGCCCCCATCTTCTTCCTCCTTCTATCTTATTCTCTCCTTCCTCCAACCTTCATTCTTTTTTTTTTTTTACCTTTGCCAAATCAAATCTAGAAAGACGAAACCAAGAGTCTTCACGCTAGGTTCGTCGCAAATCCAAGCATTGGATTCATCACACCTTGCTCTAGCCATCCATTTATTATTAATATGAGTATTTAGAGTTTATAAAATGGAATTGTCCCCCTTGATTTAAAGTTTTGGTTGGGTTCTAATCACTCATCTCTACTTTCAATTGATTCAGCACTTTTCCTACTCTTTTCTTTGTGTGCTTACAGCAGCCATATACATACCTAGATCTGTCAATTAAGAAGGGTATCATTAGACTCGGTAAAGATGGATAACCAATTGACAAGAGAAGAAGGCACATTGATTGCCATGGCAACATCTGGATCCTTTTCGCAC